AGTGATTTTTAACATGTTAATTCTTTTCCAACTCCTTGCAATTTTTTCTAACTCCGTCCAATTTCTTTCAACTTTTAATTTTGAAATTTCAATTCAAAAGAAATGGAAGTGGCGAGTGTGGAAGTGTCCAATGTCCATGATGATATATCGTTTTGAATCAAGCAAATTTACTTGGATGAACTCGATGGGGAGATTGCATTAAAGATTGATTGACACCTTCACTTTTAGTTCGACCAATTCAGCCATAACAAGAACACACAAAGGGAGGATTTGAGTCATACAAATATGGAGAAACAGATGAGAGAGGTTGGAGATGGGGTGGCCATCCATTGTAGAAGATGTTTTGGGGTCAGGGCTGGGAGACGTAACCCCACGGGTTCTGGCTTGCCCATTTCCACTGGTCCCTGCACATCTCATCTATCCCGTTCTTTGCCCTCCAGCCCAACTCTCTCTCGGCCTTCTCCGTTGATGCATACACTGCTGTCGCATCCCCCGCTCTTCTCGGGCATAATTTCATCCCAATTTTCTGCAACAAGATAGAAACAAGTAATCTAAATGCTTATATGTTGATCAGTTCTGTTTTTCTTTTTATATAAATAAATTTGTCCGAGCTGAGATGACCAAAAATGACATACCTTCCCAGATGCCTTTTCAAAGGCAGCTACCATTTCTAGGACGGATGTGCCACGCCCAGTTCCCAAGTTGTAAGCAACACAACCTTAACACCAAAGTAATTAAAAGGTAAGCATATGTTCCTTTATTATGTTGTTCCACATCTTATTCATAAAGTGGATGACAATGCAGTCACCTATATCAACATCTTGTTTGAGAAGGCGATTGAGCGAAACGACGTGGCCATCTGCCAAGTCCATAACATGGATGTAGTCACGGATCTGTGGGAGAGTTTCATCAATGTGTGGGTGATGTTTGCCAAATCATATTCATCATTAGAGTGAGTGAGTTTGTAAAACAATTACCGCAGTGCCATCGGGGGTGGGATAATCATGACCGTATACATTCAACTCGGGCAACCGACCGACTGCGACTTGTTGGATGTAAGGCATGAGATTGTTGGGTATGCCTTTAGGATCTTCCCCGAGTCTCCCGCTGGGATGGGCTCCCACGGGATTGAAATATCTCAGCAAAATGATTCTCCACTCTCGGTCCGCCTTTTGAATGTCGCGAGCTATCTCTTCAAGGGCCAGCTACTCACATTGAAAGAAATTCAGGTTTCTAACACTTAGAAAAACAGTATTAGAGCAGCACTCAAGCTCTTTTTTTTTAGTAGTACCTTCGTACGGCCGTAGGGGTTCATGGCCTTCAATTCAAAATCCTCCACGCACGGAATCTTCTCCGGTTGGCCATAAACCGTTGCTGATGATGAGAAAACCAACTGTAACCACACATCAATTTGACTTTATATAAGTGAATGAACGAACACCTCAATAAGTGTATTGCACAAACACATAAAATCGAAGACGAATGAATTGATGCATTTATACTCCAGGATGTTGTGGGTGAGAAAGGAACCAAACCTTCTTACAGTTATATTTTTCCATGACAGAATACAGATTTATTGATCCAACTAGATTGTTTTCAAAGTAGCGAAAGGGATAAGCAACACTCTCTCCGACAGCCTTAAGCCCGGCAAAATGGACAACAGCATCAAACCTATTATTTTAATCATGAAATTAGAATCCCAACAGCATAATGTTTTCAAAAAAATCCAGACTAGAATCCCAAAACAGAGAACATTTTAAATCCACGGTTATTGCATACTTGGTTTGAGAAAACAAGCTTTCCAAGTCATCCTTGTTTCTGATATCACCCTGCAAGGCAATTTCAAAATGTAGAATTAACACACGGCCCAAAATCAGCACCGCCCTCATTAGGCAAACAAATCTCCAAATGCTCCTTCTCCTCTTTTAATTGTCGCATTAAGATAGAAGATTTCAAACACGAGTCAAAACACACTTTGGCAACCAAACATCACAAGTTAGCGTTAGGATCTCACACACACAGAGATCTAGATGAAGAAGATAATTAAGAAATTGAAGTCAAAATGATGAACAACGAAGAAGAAAAACATATATGAGAGCTCTGTATGTTTTCCTGCTATTGCCTACTGGGAAAACTTCACGCCATTATAGGGCTTTATATTGATCATTTCAAAATAACGAGTAAGTACATGCTATAAACAGGGAATAATACACGTTGAAATCCGTGAAGCAGAATGCATATGTTAATAAGTAATATTAATAATACAGTAAACACATTAGCTCCACAACCTAACGATTAGCTAGCATTCATTGAGCAATCCAACACCATCAGCTAATTAAATAAGAAAATTTATATCGAAAACAAGCAATTTGATCCCAATAAAAGTGCGAAGAACTGAGCAATTTAATCGTGATACAAATGATATCTACAAACGGAGATGAAGAGAGAAAGTACCAAATGGAAATGGAGATTGAGGGAGAGGTGAGGTCCAACCAACTCCCTCACCCGATGAACAGCTTCTTCAACGGCGTTGTGGAGATTATCGATGATCCAGACCTTAAACCCTTCGTTGAGAAGCTGAACCACTGTGTGTGTGCCTATGAACCCCGCCCCTCCCGTGACCAGAATCCTTTCTTCCCGCCCTGCGCCCATTTCTGGAACTCTCTACCTCTCTCTCTCTCTCTCTGGTCTTGTATGAATGAAGATGAAGATGGAGATTTCGAATTGAAATACGCAAGCGGTTATATAGAGGTGTATTCGTTTGGGACAAATAAAATGTGGAGTTTCGGCGTGAGAGAGAGAGAGAGAATGGGAAATGGCGCATAGTCAGCAGCAACGTGGAGCATCTCGAGGAGAGACTTTTTCGGGAATAATAACTAACTTCCAGTTGTGGAGAAATTGAAAGAAAAAGTGAAGAAAAACTCGTAACAAAATTATTCAAATAAAATTTTAAAAAAAATCTTTTCATCGAACAATATCACAGCTTGATATTATAAGTCAGCATTTCATTTAATATTTTTGAGACCATAAGTTATACCCTCTCCGTCCCATAAAACCTTTCTCCTTTCTTTTTTCATTCGTCCCATAAAACACTTCTCATTTCTATTAAAAAGTCATTTTTACCCCTTACTTTTTCATACCTTACATATCACATCATACTTTTTTACTAATAATCTACCCATCAAATTCTACTTTTACCCATCACATCAAAGGACATTTTTGGAAATTCAATATCAAAATACACTCCCCTCAAATCTTTTCAAAAAGCAAAAAAATCACATGTTTTATGGGACGGAGGTCGGAGGGAGTATATGTTTAATTATAAAAACTTTGAAAAATCTATTTTAATTTATGGATCATGATTTGCACTGTTACGTTACCATTTCTCAATAATTTTAATTATGTTTATTTGCATGTTTTCATTATTTATTCGATAAAATAAAATATAATTAAGTTATAATTTTTTTAATTCTATACTAATTTATTCGAAGAGCGTAAATTATTTTGAGATAGATGAAGTAATGCATTTTCTACAAAAATTGATACATATCTCTCTCTTCATAAATGTAGTTACGGAGTGGAGTACATTTTATCTGTTCATCTATTCCGTACTTACCACTTCATAAAAAAAACATATCGATTTGTTCCATGAATAAAATTTATAAAATAAAGTACTTCAATTATTTTTTTAAAAAAAATCATTTATTCCTTTGGGGTGGAGTAATTAGTTGAAAAAAAGAATGTACGGATGGGCCAGATAATTATTCAAAATGATTGATAAATCATTTTGCTTGTTTTGGGGTGGAGTAAATAAATATAAATGGCCTTTTTTTAATGGTAAACAATCATATTGCTTGTTTCCTAGGCCCTCTAAAATTAGTAAAATGTGGAAGACTTGGACACTGTAAAAGAAAAGACATATAGGGTCCACAGTCTCCACACAAATTTTCCCTCCCATATATGCGAGCAAATTGACAATTTGCATTTTTATATATTCCACCATATACTTCTTTATTATTATTACTGCAAATTCTAACTTATTATTAGCAACAAATTGTTGATTATATGTTTTACTCTCTCCGTCCCTATTTTGATTACAAAATAGCAATTACGATATAAAATCTCTTAATTGTTTAAATTATTTTATTTACAAATTGGTACATCAATAAGAAATAAAAATTACATACTAAAAAACCACATTCAAAGTTCTACAAAACGAGAAGTGACTTGAATATTTCATTTTATTAAATAATTAATGAAAACATACAAATAAAAAATAGTATCGAGAGGAAAGAGAAAATAAAATTATATTAGGAGACGGAGAGAGAGTAATAGTCTTTTAATTTGTTTTTACAAAACAGTATGACATTTGTGTATACAAGGGTCCACAAATAGTTTGTCTCATAAATCTAACATTATCCACAAACAATTTCTCGCAGAATATTTGAGGAGGGAGGAGATGTGGGGATTCTTTGGAATATGGTCCAACCTGCCTGCCAGCTTCTTGAATTGAAGAATGGACCTTAGCTGTTTGTGTTTACCATTTATTTATGTCAATTTATTTTGGTATTATCCATTTGGAAGACACAAATAATGCAGATTTCAAGGTGATATATACACACACACACACACACATATATATTCTGGATTTTAATTTTATACAATTCTTCACATTCCAAATGAGAATTATTTTCTTAATAATGAGAATAAAGAAAAACAAAAAAAATTAAATGTCACTTGCGTTGATAAAATAACGCACTTTTTTTGTCGCTCATAACTCTCACCCCACATTTCAATGATTTCATCTCAACCTTCTCAGAAAGGTCAACAAAAATACTGGAAAATTAGTATAGAATTAAAAAAATTAAATTTATATATTAAAAAAATACATAACGTAATTCTACAAAACAAGAATTGATAATACTATTCTCAAATGAATAAAGAACAATTAGAGTTTGAACTTGTGAACAATAAATAAACTTAAATTGAGACGAAAGAAGTATTTAACTATAAAGGGAGCAAATACATGGTGCATATTTGCACATTTAATTTGTACAATTAACACAACGCTAATTGAAATGAGACGTACTTCATGTAGCACTTTAAAGAACATAGGATGTCATGCCATTACTACAACAGTTATCAATCCCAATTTGTCTTTTTGGAAGTGAAAAAAAAATAACAAATATAATAATCCCACAAACATGTCACAACCTCCTACCTTAACTTATTCATGGCTACCCCTATGGAAGTACATTACACACACACAAACTCATTATAATCCATAATTATAAATGAGTTTAAGAGCTAAAACTGATGCGGCAAGTAGGTAATTAAGACGAAGAAGAAGAAGAAGAGTTTAGTTGTATCATTACACAAGTGAGGGTGAGGGGACTGACTAGAGAGCTCGTCGCCTCCAAGATTCCGGCATTAAAGGTTGGGCGGCAGGTAGTCCTTCCTCCCATCCGGACCGGATTGAGAACCCATTCCATTGTAACTTGGTAAGCTAAACCCGGGCGGCAAAAGGGGCGAAGAATTCATCATAGATGATGGGTGTTGTGGCCCGGACTGTGGATCAAACACCGGAAGTGGAAGTGGAAGCGAAAAGCATCCGTCCACCACCTGCGGGTAAGGCGGGTCAAATGGCTGTGGTTGCTGCTGCTGATGCTGGACCCCAGCACAAGTTTGGTCTTGAGAACCCTCCCCAGCTGGCATCCCGCCTCCTGTGAGCGTTTTCAGGGCAAAGTCCAGACACGGGTCCGTCCAACAGTCCCCGCTTCCGCGAAACTGCGTTTGAGGATTTGATGGCAATGGTATGTTCACATCAACATCGTCGTGGGGCCCAACGTAAACCTCGGATGGTGGCTTACTAACCGCGCAACTGAAGTGGCGAGGGATGTGGGTCATTGCCGTGTTGACGTCAATTTCACCTGAGCCCGCGGCAGAGGATTGAAGAATCTCTTCTTCACCAAGGCCCAAGTCAGCTACCACTTGCCGAACGGGATCGTGCGGGCCCCACGATGTGTTGATGTCGATGCCACTGCTAGAGTTTGGAATAACTACACTACCTTCAAGCCCGATGCCCACATTGGAGACCAGTTTCTCAGACGGGTCGAGAGACTTGTCAGGCTGTATTCCATCCTGGTGACCCAAATTTGCAGCTTCACCTTTGTGTTGCTCTGCAAGTCTGTTTGAGGACCGACCAGGCAAGCTTGTCGGGCCTTTGTTTTCTCTGGGATTTCTTGTCTTGGTCGCAGTTTGACCCGAACTCGGTGATTGGTTTCCGGAAACTTTGTTTGATTTTCTGCGTGGGGGAAGTTTTCCCACAGTTATTCCAGTCCCGGAATTTGCATTGAGGTAATCATGAGTAATGCTGCGCCTTCTTTTGTTTGAGCCTTCTTCAGCATGTGGTTGTGGAACTGCTGCATCTGTAGGAGCAGAACTTTCTTTTATTTCAGCCCCTGTATTTCCATTTCCTTTCAATTCCTCCCCAACGAAAACTTCTCTTCTCGTCCAAGAGTCTGTTTCTGGATTTGGAGGAACCTAACAGCAAAGACATTTCCAGTCAGTATACAACACCAATCACATTACTCGGTCTGTATTTGGAAACGCGGCGCTAGGGGGACACCAAATTGATATGGGCTAAATAGCGATCCCACACCGGTCAAATGGGGGATTGGTGTGGGGTTTATATAGCCTAGGGTTCTCCCACCTTAAGAGCTTGCTTTTGGGGTGTGGCTCTCCCTTGTGCTGTATCACAATAATTTGGCACTAAATGCACACCAAGGCTTACACACACACACAGACAAACACTTAATGTCCGTGCGCACAGATATCAAGTATCTGTGTGTTCTGTGTAAACCTTGGTATGCATTTGGTGAAAAAATGCTTGGTGTCCCCCAAGCATTAGTGGTGTTTGGAATGCCCTGATTAAAGCAACAAGGAGTGGGAGTATAAAATTGCAAGACTCACGCTGTTGGGGGTTGATCCGGGAATCCTTTTGCTGGGCCTTATGATACACTTGCGTATATCACCACTTTCAATATAGCGCAGAGCATCTTTCTTGGAACGGAATTCATATCCGCTGACAGGGTCTACATAATACTGTTATAATGGAGATAAAGGTGATTAATCACAGTCATAGGTAAAAACACCAGATGATAAACCATAGATTAAATCCCATAAACTTGCTGACAGTGTCTACATAACAATGTTATAATGTAGAAAATCAATCACTCATTGCTCATTAGTAAAAACATCAACTGATAAATCTTAAAAAATTCCCAAAACTTGTTTTCACAGGTTCACATGTACAGAATGGGAGTGAAGAATGGAATTTACCCAGTCATGTCTTATTTCCCCTGCTTGTGTCATCCTAGTTTTGGCTTCTTTTATCCACCCAGATGGTAGCCCATCCACTGGCTCACTTTGAACTCCAATCTAAGTAAAATGTGCAGAATATAGAAAATTTTCACACTATAAAGATTAAAATCGAAAATACCATGTAGCCTCTTTTGTGCAGTAGAGTGAGTAGGTTTTGAGTTTACTTATTTGCCTGACATTAGTATCACCAACCATTTCAGCCAAATAACACTTACCAAAGAGGGAATTGGAAGATCTTCGTCTTACTAGGAAGAAACTGACATATGTAGGCACATATTTAAGCCGTTTGATCATACTAGGAAGAAACTAACCTGCATGGGCGTAGATTCTAGCTGTTTGGGAATGGGGCTGGGATCCTTAGCTGGTGTGTTGTTTTGAGAGTCTTCCAACTTAGGATCAGATGGGATCCTTACTACACCATGCAGGATCTGAGAACAAATAGCATATGAAACTTACATAAATATTTTATTCTTATATGGAATACTATTATTAGAAATTTAGACTTATTGTGGAAACAGTCATCCATGGATGGGGTTATCCTACAGTGCCTACTTGTTTGCCATGTTTGAGTGTAGTATATATAATTAAACCTGACCCAATGAAGAACTGTTAGGGGATAAGTTACACCTGATATAACATGGTATCAAAGCTTAATCTGACAGAGCCTTATGGGACCAACTCATAGTTTAGGACTTTCAAAGTCTTCAGCGCAACACTTTGAAACTTAATAACTTCTTTGTATATGAATAAATATTATAAAAATATGATATTTCAAATCATATTTCAAAATGAATCTAATGGTATTGATTTTACATGGTAACTAAATATACTTTTCTCACCAATTTTAGCCAACGTTTATTATAGCTAATATATAGATGTGGAGTAAACATTATCTAGTCTTGATTATCATTTTCAAATGAGTTGACTAAATTCAACTCATAACGTAGAATATGGAGAAAATCCCCAAGGGGAAGTATTAAACAGCAATGACCCGGCGAAATCACATGAATGAGGTTTTGGAGGTGTTTGGGGGGGGGGGGGGTATGTAGACCTTACCTCTACCTAGATAAGGTAGAGAGGCTGTTTCCGACATACCCGGACTCCTCAAACATAAAAACAAAGGTTGGTAGTTAGTACAGCTCAGCAGATAAAAGGAAGGGGAAGTATTAAACATAAAATAATATGGAATACATAATATTAGAAACAATAAATACTAATAAAAATACAATATGGATGAGAAGCCTTACAGGTTTGTCCTTGGTAGCTGACTCTGGGTCCCTTTTCGTGGGCTTCACAACACACTTGCCAATATCACCTGTATCTAAATAGCGCATAACATCTTTCTTGGAACGAAACTCATATCCACTTACGGGGTCAATGTAAAACTGTCAAATCAAATCAAAGTTATATCACTAAACGTGTGTGGGTGTATGTACACATAAACTGGAAAAGTGGAAAACTGTTTTATGAAGGAATATGAATTTACTGCATCTCCTATTATCCGACTTCCTTGTGGATTCTGTCTCAATCTGAATTCTCTCGTCCACCCTGGTGGCAACCCATCAGCAGGACCACTTTGAACTGGAACCTGCATATTCAAACTAAGATATGTTGAGAGAGAAGGATGGAGAGGGAGAGAGAAAGAGAAGGGAAAAGTGGAAGAGAAATAATATTGAGCATATTACATTAGTAAGTGCCTTTGGTGTGCGCTTGTGAATGCTAGATTTCTGCTTTTTGGAAATGGCACGTTTTGCTTTCAGTGCTTTTTCATTTTGAGACACTCTCAATTTAGGTGACGAGTTTTCAGTGGCAGGCTGAAACATTAAAACAATTGTAATACGTATTTTATGGTAATAACTTATTTCCTAATTCATTAATATTATTCACTAGGTGAGCATTATCATAATATAACAGACTACGGTAATTGTACTCTATTACAACAACAATAAGCTAGTATAATCTCAACTATGTAGGTGTCCTGGGGTTCAAGATGTAAACAACCTTACCCCGGTAGAAAAACACAGAATGTTTAATCTAATCAGGGTATAATGCACAGATCATCAAACTCACAGGTGTATCACCCAAAGTTGATCCGAGTTCCTTTTTGAGAGGTTTCATAGCACACTTGCTGATATCACCGGATTCTATGTAGCGCAAGGCATCTTTTTTTGACCGGAACATATACCCACTGGCAGAATCTGTATAAAACTGGTAAATCAAGAAACAGTCAGCACGATTTATATAGTACTGCTGGCTGCACCTACCTTGTGATACAGTCAATGCCAATTTTAATATTTCTGTTATCTTTCTCATGCAAATGAATGCTTGAAATGAGTTTGATATGATACTAAAATGAGTATTAGGCTTGGAAGGATTGCACATAAGTGCATAGTTTATGTAAATGATATCGGTAAGGATAAGGATTATTATAATAACAAGCTAATTTTTTGAGCATGCTCACCATTGATTATAGAGCAAAGTCTTAACAATTGAAATGAGCAATTTTACAGATGAAATTAGCTTCTTAGTTATAAATGAACACAAAAATATGCAACAGTGAAATGACCATGGAATAAAATGAGCTCAATTCTTTTGCATAATCTCTCGTGGAATATTCTCAGCTAGCTGGCTGTATGTTATCCCAGCTGGATAGTGAGATTTTCTCTATGACTACGGTTTAAGGTTGCTAATTACGATTATCATCACCTAAATCCCAACTTGTCGGGGCCTGCTGCGTTGAATTTATGGTGGCAATTAATCATTAAATGACACTATAAAATCATGCAAAATCATATATGCAAATGATGAGATGAAAATTCTAAAACTGGCTGCTCTCTGTCGAATACTGAGATGGAAATTATAAAGTCACCATCATCACCATCAGTGATTTTAACATGTAAGAAAAATATCATGAGGCAGTGATGAGTTGAGATGCTTGCTATTGTCATGTTCCATTAACATAATGATATTGTAAAATCAAGCTACAATAAGGGATCCAGATGGGGGTGATATTTATTTTATTAAGTTATTTTGATGGCATGAAAAAAAAGTGAAGATAAAAATTATGAAGAAATACATGATTTAACTAAACATATATGGTACTACAGTAGATATATCTAAGCACCTAAAGGTCAACTGGGGAGAAATTCTCGGTGCAGCTGGGCAGCTTTTTCTAGTTTGTGTTCCTGGCTTTTTTTAAATGAAGAAAAGGAAACGCACCGGGTCCTTTTTCCCACTTCTTCTGGATTTGTATTCTTTTATCCACCCTGGTGGTAACTCACCCACTGCATCATTTTGAACTGCATCCTACATTATAACTTCAGAGATTAGCAACTTATTTTTATTTGAAAACAAATAACAACCAAAAGAGTTTAAAAAAAGGATATCTTGATAAGATTACAGAAGAAACTATCTCTGTGGGTCTCATCTCCGTGCCAGATTTCTGTTTTCTTGGAGTGCGGGCAGGCTGACCATTGTCCTTCACAGGTGTGTGGTGGTTTTGAGGCTCTTCCTGTTTAGCAGATGATTCCTCTATGTTTTGCTGAGACATTGAATCATATGAAGAGTGACATCAAGTAATCTTATTGCATTATTTTTAAAATTTTGATATTGCCATCATCAATAATAACTTTGCCACATTTTGATATAGATTGTGTACTTAATTTCTAAGACCTGAAATGTAAATGGATAAGAGCACCATTATGATGTGCAGTAGTAAACAAGAATCCAATTCCCCCCCCCCCCGGGACTAATGATACGGTTGAACTGTGAGGTGTGAACAAAAGACAGACTTTCTCTCTCCATTTGAAACCAGATTTGTGTTTACTTTTGCTCGGATTCCGGTATCCAAAAGAAAATATACATTTGAATGAATTGGGCTCATTTTTATGATAATCCTTGTTATACTATTCAATAATTCAGTCAGGGTAAAGGACACACACAAAACAATAAAAAAGGATAGCAAAATTGTAACTATTATAAATGAAACATATTGTGAAAACAGCAAACTTACGGGTATGTCCTTGCTCGATGATTCTGGATCCCTTTTCTTGGGCTTCATGGCACACTTATTAATATCACCAGTTTCCAAATAGCGCAAAACATCTTTTTTGGAGCGAAATTCATATCCACTAACAGGGTCTATATAGAACTATTAAAAATCAAGGTAACCAAGTGTCATCAAGTGAATCCAGGGGGCTTCAAAAGCATTCATCATATGTAAATTTGTGTATTCTTTGAAGAGTTAACACAAATGTACCGGATCCTTTCGTATCCCACTTGGACATGTCTTGCTTCTTACTTCTTTTATCCACCCCGCTGGCAACCCATCCACTGAACCGTCATGTGCTGTAACCTGCATATGAATTTATGTGCTTGTGAAATTCAAGTCTATGTTTGGTAAGACTCAAAATGAATGATATTGCTATAAATTGTGGCTGAATAATCTAAATAGATATTTTAAAATATTTTTAAAATAAAACAAAAAAACCAGTAGTATCTGAGGCAAGCTACAATATGATTTTCTTTCATTTCAGACCATTTTCAGCCATAAAAGCAACAAGTTTACTATTTTTCATAATAAACTGATTCATACCAGTGACATTAGTAAGTGTTTTGGAAAAATATGGATGATGGGGCTGTTAATCCGAAGTTAAAGCTTACAAACAGGCTCTATAACTCATTATATACACAAACATTCATATTTAAGTGAATAAATGTATAGTCTACATACTGCAGATGAAACTGTCTTCGGAGTGTCCTTGTTCGGGTCAGACTTCAGTTCTTGAGATGTGTGTCCCTTGCTCTGATTAGGAGTGTGATCTTGAGATACTGGCACGTTAGAGATGGATCCGTCTATATTGTCCTAAGATGTGGAAACAGATAAAAGTAATTACAGTTGTGCTTTATTAAGAATACCTCAATTCATGAAATTTGAATTTCGAGATGACATTAAACAAGTAAAAGTGAATCTTACAAAAACCTAGCATTGGTTTCATGTACTTTTGATAAATGAATGGAGGATTTTCTAAGATTGAAAAAACTGTGAAACATAGGGTAAAATAAGGAAGCATTGTATGGAGTATGGGCAACTAAGTCAAAGCAATCACTAAAGCTATGTTGCCAATCCCTATGTTAGGATGCTCTCATAAATTATCTAAAAATTTGAAATTTGAAATTCTAAGTTGTAATGATAATGGGATACATAAAAGGTCTAATCTTTATTCATTACTCATTAGTGTGTGTAATGTGAACAGAATTACGAGTGGACTTGACCCAAAATGTATCGTATGAACATAGGCCCTTAATTTAATTGGGCACAATAGCAATGGCCCACCCCAATATTGTTAGTTTTAAGAATTTAAGAATTAAGATGCAGGATTATGATGATGACAGTAAGCATAAGATGACACAAGTCAACTGGTACAAAAGTGTAACTCAAAGACACATACTACTATATGATATACATGTTATGACAAATGAATTCTTACTTTTTTTCCATGGTCAATGGAGTTGTTGCTGTTTCCAGTACTGTTAAGATACTGGGAGACTTTAACTTTGGAATAAAATTTTCTTCCGGAGGGACTGATGTAACACTGAAAAACATTGTTAAATAGAAAAAATTAGGAAAATAAAACTCCATAGTAATTAAAGTAGACAAAAATAAAGAATTAAAAAACTCTACTTCGCCAATTATTTTCATCACATAGAAAAAAGGTATTCATAACTTACTATAGTTACTTAAAGCTATTTTTGAAGTACAAAATGCAAAGGCTAAGAGCAACCCCGGTAGTGGGGAAAATCCTTATGTGTACTTTTTTTTACGTTTCCAGTGGTGTGCTCTCCTCTTTCCCATACGTTAAAAAACTGTTTCAGCAAGTGAGGCTTTTTTTCACACAATAATTAGGAGAGAGAGAGTGTGTGTGTGTGTGTGTGTGGGCTAGTGGGGTTGAGAGAAAATAAATCCCAACTGATGGGATTCAAAAAAAAACACACAATAAATGATGTGGATGAAAGGGAAAGTGTAGAGAGAGATTGGTGAGGAATTTTTTTCCCTCACTACCGTGAGTGCTCTAAGAGTACAATGAAATACAAAACTCTATTAGGGTCCATTTCGAACCTGGAAATACGTAAAATAGGAAGGAAAATATTGGGAAGAAAGAAAATGACTTCTCTCCACGCATTTTTTCCTTTCCCGGGCACTCGTATTTTCCAAGATCCAAATGTACCCTTAAAGAACCATGTTGTAACTTGTAAGCATGTGAAGTAAATGAGGCTCTTTTGGTTTGCATACCTTGTAAGTCCCACCATTATGTGAGCTACCCATTCGAGTTTTCAATTCAACTGTCCATCCAGGAGGTACCTCAAGAGATTTATCTGATTTTGGTGTAGGCTATGGGCAGAAAATAACAAAACCAGTTAGAAGAGAGATTAGGAAAAGAATCAAAGAAAACAAAGAGAAGCTAGACCTTCAAACTTGGTGTAGCATTCTCATCCTCATTGATTCCTTGATTCTGACCATTGTCATTACTGATACCTTGATGTTGACCATCACCATTGCTGATTCCTTGATGTTGACCATCATCATTACCAACTTCTTGGTTTTCACTCTCATTATTATTGACTCCCTGAATTTGATCATGGAGAGCATCTCTTGCCTTTGTATAGTCTAGCACAGCCTTCTTGGAATAAAACTTTTTCCCACTATCTGAATTTGTGTAGTACTACAAGGCCCAAAAAGAAAGATAAGTTCAGCATGCTTTTTTCAAACAATTATTTAATCGAATAAACATTCACATTACATCTTTACCCAATCCATATCATTTTGACCTTGTTTAGTTGGGGAGTTTTGGAGGAGAGGGGTAATATTTACGGAGTATTTTATTACTCCGTAATTATTCTTACAGAAATTTATAAGAGTGTTGCTGTATCCACCTCTATTATGGCTACATCCACTCCATTTATGGGTAAATGGACAATTTTGTCCTTACAACACAAAAGAACATAAGATGTTAACCAACTTTTAAGTTTTAAGGACAAATCTGTCTATTTTAGATAAATGAAGTGGATTTAGCCATAATAGGAGTGGATATACCAACACCCCATTTATAAATATGTGATAAAATAAAACGTGAATGAAATAGTTGATTAGTAATATACTCCGAACAAGACTACAACTAACAAATAGAGATACATTAGTAAAACAAAAACCAACCCCCCTCCCCCAAATCCCCCAACCAAGTAAGCACATATGCAAGGTCTACTCAATGTAACTTCCGCAGCAAGAAGTCAAATGTTTCAACAACATATAACTACATATATCTCACGAATACTAAACAGGCAACCTAGGTATGGAGTAAATTGAACTATTGAAGCATATATTGCACAAAGGGACTTGTTTAATTGCTGAAACGTGAGAAATCATTCCTTCAACTTAAAAGAAATAATTATATTTCTTAAAACACCTAGGTGAAAGACAACAGACTCCAAATGTTTCCCCCCATCAGTAAAAAAATAAACATGTATCTTCTCTAGGAGCTCACATGAATCACTAACATTGTTCTACAAATCTCTGCCCAGCTTCGCATAGGGCCCTAGGCTCAGGCATTAGGCCTCCCTTGGGCCTTGAGTGGTCCCTCCTAAGACGACATAAGCCTTGATTAATCCCGCCTAGGCGCTAGTCTGTAAGTCCAACACCTATGGGACTCCAGTTCACTAAATCAGAATGTTTTAAACTTAAATGCACAAGAAACCATCACAGTCAACTGCGAACCAAAGCTTATCCAACCCTAAACTTACCAAATCGGCAGGTTGATTAACTGTGCTGTATTAACTCTCAACTCATAACCAGATCAAGATTGACTTCGTACAAGGAATATCATAATTAAAAGGCAGATCTACCATAAGAGGACTAAATCCAGTAAGAGGGCCGTCTTAATTGCAATATCATACTGAAATACTCGTAAAGATTGAAACTTTTTGGCTATTTATTTACATAAGTAAACGAAAGAAATGAACTAAAATGGGGTCAGTTTACCTTCGTTGTCCGGCCGTTTTTCACTTTCTCGTGCTCGATCCATCCCGGAGGAAGAGGCTCCTGAGATTTACCGGCGACCATGTTTAAGCAAGTTCGAGATTTTGGGACGAATGGGTGGGGAGATTGAAGCAAAACTCTCTCTCTCTGGGTCAATTGGCTACGGAGCACAGTAAAGTGTGCGAAGATAGATAAAACACGAATGGTATGGCCGGTGAAAGTGTAAAACACGTGTCACTTCTACACAAACTGCCATAAAGCTTTATATATATACTCTCTTCGTCCGTTTTAAATCGTTCGTTTTGATTTTAAGACATACTACCTCCGTCCTACTTTCTTTGTCTACTTTTGATTTTTGGAACTGTTCAATTTTTAAGACATACTACCTCCGTCCTACTTTCTTTGTCTACTTTTGTGCTAGATTTTGCTTCGTTTGGAAGAATGTAAACTCATATTTTTAAACAAGTAACCTATGATAATTATTAACACAGACAAAGCGTATGCATAAATAAGGCATTATGTTATCAAATAAAAAAAGCATTCTTTTTTCATTAATAACTTTTTTCCATTTTTAAATGATATATTTTAGAAATTTTTTCTAAAACTTATTTAGTTCAAAACACATCCAGCTATCCACATCATTAACCTATTAATGTGTTTCTTGAATCGCATGTAGCAACCATAAAAAATAAATGTAATAAAAGTGGAATATCAACCAGAGATTTAAAAGCACGAGAAAAGTAATATTTAAGTGAATAAGATTACCTAACAAAGGTATTTTCAAGTTATTTTCTATTTTGTTGATTGAACATAATGACAAAATTGTTAGTTTTTGTTAGTGGGTTTCACAAAAGTATAACTAATTAGAAGAGTGTAAAATAGAATTACCTCGAGGTCCTGTTTGGTACATGGAATTCAAACTATGTTTTGATTTTAAACTTTATTTTCGTTTCTTTCAATTTTTAAACTTTACCAGTTTTACAACATCCAACTTTTTTTCAACTCTAAAGAATATGATTTTTATAACTTTATTTTCTTTAACACCACTACTACTTATTTTATTCAAAATATTTGTATCCCAATAATTTAAAAATAATTAGAAATCAAAATTTGAATTACAAATTATTCAATAAAGTAGTAGAATGGATATGCAGCCTAACATAGAAGAGTTTGATTTTAAAATTATTATATTTTTTTGAGGAAATGATTATATTTCATTGTTTCTAAATATTTTATATTTAATATTTAATTCTATATTAAAATAAAGAGAAATTTACCTAAATAGGACTAAAACATAATGACTTTCTCAATATAGGACCATATGTTTTTATTTCCCAATGTAGGACTTTTAGTCATTATCATATAGTCATTATTCAAGCAAATGTCTATCATTACTGGACATTATTCTTCCCACTAAGTCATTATTAAGTCCTATTTAAGGAATAAAAAAGTTTAAGTCATACATTAAGAAAGACATATGTTTTAGTCCTATTTAGTGCAAATTTTACTAAAGTATATTCAGTTAATAAGTTTATTAGTGCATTTGCCGACAAAGAGTAATTTATTTTTAGAATGATTATATTTCATTGTTTTAATTTTTTTGAATTTAAGATTTATTTTGCAAATGAAGATCATGTAATTTTTTTAACGTAATTATCATATGGAAAAATAAATATGAATACCACTAACATATATAGAAGGGTGAGGTGTTCACATGTTTGGTTGAGTTTGTTCTTTGACACTCTCGCTCTTGCAAAGCGCTCACCAGTTGAAGTCAATCTGCGTAAGTATGAATCTTACGCAAGCCCAACTCTTCGAGCCAATACAAGCCATTGATTTCATCAACTCTAAACTTCCATTACAAACAGCTCCTAAAACATCACCCGCCCCCAACAAAACAGAACCAAAACTAACCTCCCCATTTGCAATAACATACAATAGCTGCATCAACATAGCGGATCACTGTACCAGCCTCCAACGAAGCAGTATGTGGCGGCAAACCCACCTCACCTAGACGATTATTACTCATTTGTATGCCCCTCAAGTGTAGACATGCTTCAATTACCATTGTGCTTACAATTATGGGCATCAATATCATGTCCTCCCACGCAGCTGTATTCTGCGTCTTTCAAATAGCCCAAATCGTCCAATAAATAGATTGTAGTTTCACCAAAGAAAAAACAAAAGATTAAAAGTCCATGATTCAAAAAATATATAGCCTCTGTTCTACCCAAACTCTCCCCCAAATTTGTCCAAATGATTATTTGTTCTTTAGTAGGTTTAAATCTCACATCATCCATCTTTCAGTTTTTTTATTTGTTGTTTATTCTTCTAATTTTTCAAATCAGTATATTTTAATTTTTAATTTCAATTTTGGGTTTTAATGGTTTTTAGTTTAATTTAAAAATAAATGAAATATTTTAAAAAGAATATTTAAAAACCAAAATAAAAAAACACGTAACACAGCAAATAAAAATGAAATAAGGATAAGATGAAAAAACTGACGTTAGGCCGAGCTAAAAGACATGCAGTACCCTTAGAGCAACTCTAAGGGGCAATGTATAATTAATTGAGTAAATGCAAAAAAAAGAAGAGATGATATACCCTTTACTGTTTAGAAAAAGCTCTCCACCCATCTTCTAAAGAATAGACAATATGTTATTTTCTAATTCATATCTTGTAAATATAGCAGGTCCGTCCTATAAGAAGTAGAAAAGCCCATCTCATCTTCTCCTAGCCGCAGGAGATCAACTCCCATCATCATCTTCAGCCACCATTGATCTGTCAATCAAAATATTAAAAGTTATAAATTAATTTGAAGATTTTAAAATAATAAAACACTATAAAGATGTATAATATGAAAAATATTGTCGGAGTAAATACGGAGTATATATTAAAATGCAGGTATAAAACACCGTTGATAATATAAAATAAGATTTACATTATCATTTTTTCCATTAGAGATTGCCGTATTGATTTTTTTTATTTTCCCAAATATCCATATGATTTCGTTGAAAGGGTGAAATCTAGAAGGCCCAAAATCGTTCCCAGCTGTCAATTAGTGTGAAACGCTGGAGATTTTTCAACGGGTCAAAGGAGGCCGAACTCATTTGGTTTCGCTGTCTGTACAATCTCAGTCAATCTTTCGAGCCCTAGAACGATTTCTTCGTGATAATCTGCCCCCACCGATCTAGCTTCCTCGTGTTAATTTCAGATCTCTTGATCTTACCATGGCTGCAGAATCCAGCAACCCCCAGTCAATCTACGATTTCACCGTTAAGGTCCGTCTTTTAATCTGTTCTGATTTACAGCATCTGCGAATCACAAGTACTATGAATCCACTTGCTTGTACCGATTCTCGTGTTAGTTAACTTCTTCATCTTGATCAGAACTACCTGGCTTTTGTTCCGGTGTTTAATTTCTTGATCTATTCTCACGTTTTTTTGGGATATAAGGGTTAAATCTGCCAAAAAGACGATTTTTTTTTGTAAAGTAGCATGCTTTTAAGATCTAGTTATTCAGCTTGTAAGAAGGCCAGCACAACATAGGAGGACGGTGAGTTGTGAATGTATAGAGGCTCTAAAATGAAAAGATATTCATGTTTATATATATATACGCAGTTCACTTTCAACTACACAGTTTTTACTTAACTTTATTAAAAAGGTGTCAATCTGCGTACACACATCCTACTCTTGTGGGATGGAACTGGGTTGTTGTTGTTGTATTAAAAAGGTGTCAAGTCAAAGTAGACACATCATTGTAGGAGGGAGGAATACAATAGGAGATCACTGAGATTTATAGAGATTCATGACTAACAATCTTCTCCTTAGAAAAAAAAATCATCCCATCCATGAGGCCTCCTGAACCAGGCTTAGAGTTTAGCTGGGAAAGGTGGACTTGGGCTGGATTTGAACAAGTTTAGGCCAGATTTTACACTAATAACTAGTGTTAACCTCGTGCTTCGCACGGGCTCATATATATTCTAAATTTTTGAGATTCTATAAATATAATTTTAGTTGTTTAGTTTTTCTAATAGTGACAAAATATGTTTTAAACTGATGGAATATATATTGGTATGTTAATTTAAAAACAAACAAATTCTACAAAATTAATGGTCATTAAATTAGGTACAAATAAAAATAGTATATGTGTTGTAATGTCACTTGTTAATTGTCACCCTTCAATTAAACCAATTTTATTCTATTTACTTTGATAAAGAATATGTGTAGCAATACAATACATAATGTAATAAGATAAAATTTTTGAAACAAAGTATTTAATTAATAAATATGCACATGTGATTAAATTTATATAATCATTTTTTGAAAAGTAATAAACTAAAATAAGTTATGGATAGTATTTATATATATATATATATATATATATATATATATATGGAGTATATTTTACAATGGTGAAATATATATTTATAGAATTATTAAAAAATGAAAAAGTTTTATACAAATGTATTCAAAGATTTTTTTTTTAAAATCTAAATAGACCAATGAATTGAAATACATATATCCACCTCATTAGTGGGTGCACATGTGGATGCACATGTGGCATGCCACATGTCAACACTCCAACAAATGAACTCTACTTTACATATATATATAGGATATATAGGATGAGTAACATACATTATTATGCTCTTGCCCACTCAATAAAGTGCATGTTGTTTAGTCCAAGCTCGCATGTGAAAAAAGCTCGTGAACAAACCCGCCCGAATCTTGCCCATGTAATAGTAACATAGAAAAAAAGTGAAATGTTTTCAGTGAATAGTGAAAAGTGTGTGGTTAAGAACTTAAAATTTATTTGGAAGAAAGAAAAATAAACTTGTCCACATATTTATATTTTCAAAAAAGTGAGAAGTGTAGTGTTGATTTTTAGACATCTCAAAAAGGAAAGTGTAAAGTTTATTCGGATCTTGACAAATGTATAATTTTATACGTTCTCCGTGTATTTTTAAAACAGGGCATTGAGAGGCATGCCCAAAGCCCGACTCAAAACATGTTCTTTTTTTGTCAAAAGTCCAAATTTTGACCATATTTTCCGTCCCAGCCCAAAAAAAGTTTGGCGGGCCTTCGGGCTTGTTGGGTAACGTGTCCCATCTCCTGCTCTAGTTGGAAGAGATAAATTTAGCTTTAATCACAATGTGGTTGGTAGATGGTGGAGTCTGCAGCTTACAGAGACCCCATGCTAAGCATGGTTGCCTCGTTGCATAGTTGTCCGAACCAAAATTGAGATTTCTCCTTTTGGCACCCTTACATTCAATTGCGCCATGCCACTACCTTTTCCGTTTACTATCAAAGTGATGCAAAATGTTGCTATTTGCTATTAGGTTTTGATTGGAGAATTGAATTTCAGCATTTCTTCTGGTTTTAACCATCTATTTTATCATCTTTACCTTTGTATAGTCCAAGTAGTCGGTTCGAATCTGACCATTAGTTGGAGAGGGCAGTTTGCTCCTCCCCTCTCCCATATTTAATTAATTAGTTAATTAACTTAATTTTGATTGTTTTAGCCTTCATCAGATAATCTTATTGCTCATATGTCTATAGTATGTATTTTTTAGGATAAGTGGATTATAATGATTGGTCTCATTTGGGCATTAAAATTGGACGCCGTTCCGGAATGTCTTTTATTTTATTTTCTACCTCTTATGTGATTAATTAAAATGGTTGCATTTTTAATTGTGTGATACCTCTTATATGATTAATTAAAATGGTTACGTTTTTAATTATATGTCACAGGATGCTAAAGGAAATGATGTTCAACTTAGTGATTATAAGGGAAAGGTCCTGTTGATTGTCAATGTTGCATCCCAATGGTATGTAGTCAATGTTTAATTAAGACTTTAAGAGTATGTGCCTCCTTTTTGCTAAAAAAAAGTTTGATTCATTTGAACTAATCTGTTTTGTTACCCCAACGCATTTAAACTGATATGTTTTGCTACGTCCAATACAGTGGCCTGACAAACTCCAATTACTCTGGGTTGACCCAGTTATATGAGAAATACAAGAATGAAGGTTTGATCTAAATCTCTTTTGGATATCTCATTTTCCAAAGTAGTGAAGTCAGAAAAAAGAAGTCTTTGAGTTTGCCAAGTCAAGAATTTTTCTTATACTCACAATCTAAGGGAATGGTTGGATCCCAAAAAATGCTAGGGAAATGTAAATGAAGTTGTTGAAGTAATTTTGTTGTGTTTGGTTTAGCTCCAAAAAATGCAAAATGATAATTAAATCTGATTTTATTTATGTTTTATTCGTTGACTTTTTATGATAGAAATAGAGAAATGATATTAGTAGTAAAGAATTCAATTACTTCTCCCAATTTTATTGAGATTCAATTTATTCCATCTAACCACAGGTTTGGAGATTCTTGCATTTCCATGCAACCAGTTTGGTAACCAAGAGCCAGGCACAAATGAAGAAATCAAGGAAATTGCTTGTACTCGGTTCAAAGCCGAATTTCCCATTTTTGGAAAGGTTTGTTAGCTGGATTCCTTTTTTCCCTGTTTGAATTTCGCAAGCCATTTCTTTGATCTCAGAATGCATATATGGTTCCTATAATTTTGTGTATCAGGTTGACGTTAATGGTGACAATGCTGCTCCACTGTACAAGTTCTTGAAGAACAAAAAGGGTGGATTTTTGGTCGATGGGATCAAGTGGAATTTCACTAAATTCCTCGTGGACAAGGAGGGAAATGTTGTTGATCGCTATGTTCCCACCACATCTCCGTTAAGCATAGAGGTAAAGCAAGCCACGTTCATCAAGGGTCTGTTTGGATTGAGGGGTTTTATCTTCGGAACTCCTATTTATTCTAGATTGTATAGAAAACGAAAGATTGGCCTAAATTTATAATCACCTTTTGATTTCCTTTGAAAACACTGCATTAATTATTTAAGCCTCTCCAAAACCCCCATCCAAACATACCCTAATACCCCGTAAGTCTTAACGAATAGTATGAGGATAATTTTGCTAATGGTAAGTGCAACAAACTTCTCTTCCTTTGTGTTGGTGCAGAAGGACATAAAGAAACTGCTGGAGAAAGCTTAACTTCCCCTATGCATATCTGTCACATGCTATTATTATTACATTAAAAAACAAAAATCAGAATGTGGGTGTGAATAAATGCAGCATTGGAGATGATGCTTGCTATGCTACATACAACAGCTTGGTCAACAGTGCACATCATTCACATATGACCAGGTTCATTTGTTCTCATTTAATAAGCAACCTGTGACTTCCTTTGTCCATACACTGTCTTGTGTCCTGATACATGTAACAAATTAAAGTTGACTACCATATACTTATCTTGGATAATATGATTTTCTTTGTCAAATCATCTCGGTTGAACTCGAAATTCGCAAAAAAGAAGAAAAAACATGTACACACTGGTATATTGAGATTTATATTCTCTTTGTCCCAAAATGAATTTTGCGGTTTGGTTTTTAGCAGAGTTTAAGAAAAGGTGTTGTAAAATAATTGGAATCTGTTTAGAAGAGACAGAAGGCAAGGCATCTTGCACTAAATTTGGGAATTTGGAATTGCAGTAGCAAAGCAGACAAATAAAAAAGTGAAAGTATGAATGGTTTTGTAATGTAGAATATGGATATTGTTTAGAAATTAGTGAATTTATCATAATTCAATTAATTAG